GTATCCATCCGTATCCATGTCCTTTTACCGCAGAATGAAAGCATATTCTTTAAACCTTACCCCTGCTCCGGTTCATAGCGCCTGCAATTAGTCTCCGAGTTGTTAAGACGGCATAATGCTTCCTGTGAATCACAAAAAATACACTTTAGTAAAGCTTTAGGCTAGGCTGCTTTTAGCTTACCTAGCTAGGCTAGGCTGTCTTTAGCTTGCCTAGCTAAGCTAGGCTGCTTTTAGCATAGCTACCAGTAATCGAACATATTTACCGCTAGCGTGGCGTTGTGCACCCGTCTTCTCTTCCTCGAGTTCGTATATATCCCGCAAAGTTGCTCGATAGGGTGGCCAGATGTCCGGCTTTAGGGCGGACAGTTCGGATTTTCATTGCACTGTCCGGCGTCCGGCGCTGCACCCAGCCGGACGTGTATTTGTCCTCCTTTACCCCCAGATTCCACATACTCCGTCAGCGCTCCGCCCCGCTCACGTACGGAGTACTTGTCTGTCTTCTTCTTCTTCTTGTCGAGTTTTATGGCGGTTGGCAACAAACTGTTAGTAGCATTACCGCCACTTACTGGTATGGAGTGTGGTTCGTGATGGTTTAAATATTGATCCTGATACATTCTACCCTAACTTCTTCTAAACATACATTCAAACATTCACACTTAAAAATATAAACATATTTGTGCACAGCTTTGTATATCATTCCTTCACTCACAAACACACTTACTATAATTAAATTCTATGGAATAATTTCGTTTTCTTTAGAAATCGAATAATTATTTGTATGTGTTTACTCCCTAAATTTTTCCTCAGTATATCTAATAAATTAACCTTCTCCTTAATGTCTTCAAACTCTCTTCTCATATATCTTCTCTCTTTTTCATATTTATGACATTCTAATATAACATGTTCTATGGTTTCATATTTATCACAGAAATCACATTTGCCCGTTTTATGTTTTTGTATTTTAAAAAGTGTATGATTAAGTCCTGTATGACCAAATCTTAACCTTGTTATCACTCTTTCATCCTTTCTATTTCTTCCTCCATTTCTTCTTTCTCCTACCATCTTCTGAATTTTATAAAACCATCTTCCTGTTTTATCTTCATCCCACCTTTTTTGCCAAATTTCCATAAGTTTCTCTTTAATAATACTCTTTCCTTCTGATTTACTTATTTTAACTATAAAACTAATAGAATGTTTAATTGCCCTTTTTGCCATTTTATCTGCCCTCTCGTTTCCTTCCGCCCCAATATGTGCTGGAACCCACACAAATGTAACTATCAGCCCCATGTTTCGTATTCTGAACAGTGTATGATTTATTTCTAATAAAATGTCCATCCTACTATCTGTATTACTTGTCTGTCATGTAAATCAATGAGAGCTGTTCCACATCCTCCGCTCGTCACCGCCCACGTACGTCTTCTCCGTCCTTCACTGTCAAAATACGGAGCTGAGCTATTTTTTGCTCCCCTCCGGTCCGTCCAGATCAAGACCCGCTATTGCAATCGCACCAAACAGAAAAAAGAATGTAGAGAAGACCCGGTTTGTCAAATTAAATTATAGTAAAAACAGATTGGTATCTAGAAATTAGAGCATAGTTTGTATATATTCCCAAAAACTAAAACAATAAATTTAGATTTTATTTCCTGGCAAAACATTCAATTCGGTTTATCCATTAAAGAAAAAAAAATTTGGAATTTTTAATCAATATTCTAATAATTGTAACAAAGTATTATATCCATAAATGTCGCTATGCAAAATGCTCCCTCCCAATCTCTGCTCTCAAAAATGAACTTTCCCTTTTCAAAAGATGTCTGAGAAAGATGCAGAATTTAAATGCAATTAAATTGTTTGAGTTAATTGAAGAATTTCAGTTGGTAGTCCCCACTGATTAATTTACTTTAACTACTATTATTATTTTATTTATTTTTATTTATTTTATTTTATACTTTGTTCCAGCCTGTGCATTTAATTTTATTTTTCAAAAGCAGGAGTTGTGATATTTCTTCTTGTATTGAAATATTTGTTATTGACTTGTTATTTGAGATTGTTATTGTTTTCTTATATATTCAATAACAAAAAAAAAAAAAAGTGGAAATCTAAAAAAAAAAATTAACCATTACAGCCAACTGATTCTGATTAAAACTAATTTTTGAAGTAAATTATTTTGTGTATTTTTTTTACATAACATTTGCATACACAGTAATCTAGCGTACTTTAATTAAATAAATCAATTCAAGCTAAAATGTAAGAGTCTATAATTAGGCTATACTGAGCCTGATCTATTTCTACCATCTATTTGGGGGATATTTATTGCCACACTTTGGGCCACTTAAAACCAATTTAGCATGCTGACCTATGTCCTTATGACCACAGTGTACCAATCTTCTGATGGCTACTTCCAACAGGATAATGCGCCATGTTATAAAGTGAATCATCTCAGAATCATTTCTTGAAACTTTTCCACTTAAGTAATTGTGAATTGAGCATATTGACAGACAACATTTTATTTTTTATCTTAAATGCAAAAAAAAAAAAAAAAAATTACTGCTCTAAATGTATTGCTCTGTCAGCTAAAGATCTGTTTTGGTCTCTATACTTTAATTAAATAAATCAATTCAAGCTAAAATGTAAGAGGCTATACCTGATCTCTTTGTATCAGAGATTTTCTTACCCAGGGTTGCAGGGGGGGGTAAAACCCCCCCTGCAACCCTGGTTTGCATTTGTATAGCTCACAGCATGTTCATTTACATGTTAAAGCCTCCCCTAGAATTCCATGGGGGGGAGGCATGGGGGGAACACTGCCTAAGAAATTCCACGTCAATTTCTGACAATTTACGGGAGTTTTCGACGAAGCCTGCAAATTGCCGTATACTGCCGCTAACCTGAAGTTCCACGACAATCTACAGTGCCGTATATTGACGAAAATCCCACTTTTCATGCAGTGGCTGTTGCTGAACTAGAAGAAACACAGACTTCCACATCCAGCACATTTCAGCACAAACATTAACTGATTAACATGGAATATTATGGACTTCCTCTCCTCATTGCCTCCTTTCTAACAGGTCAGATTTATCTTTCTGTGTAGAAAATATTAATCACGAACATTTAAAGTGGTAATAACCTTCAAACGTTTTGTAAGTAAATAATTTCCCATTTTCTCTTCCTTCAGGAATCAGCTGTCAAAAAGTTACTCCAGTCAAAAATAGAGAGTCCAGTTCAGAAGGCAGCTCTGTTACTCTGTCCTGCAATTACACAAAGAATGCAGCTGATTATTTCTTCTGGTATCGACAATATCCAGGAAAACATCCAGAGTTCCTCACCTTCAATACGGGTTTAGAAGAAATGCAGAAGGATCCTGTTCCTAGACTCTCTGGTAGAGTAAGAAAAACTGAAGCCCACATGGACCTGCTGATCTCCTCTGCTGCAGTGACAGACTCTGCTGTGTACTACTGTGCTGTGAGGCCCACAGTGACAGGAAACACCAGAACTCTGTACAAGAACCTGCAATACTCCACAGCATCCACTAGAGGGCCTCACACACTGTTCCTCCTCTATGGTTTGTTAGGATTCAGTCTGATTGTTTGTGCAGCTGAGAATAAAGCAGACATCAGAGTGTTTGCTGCATCATTGAACTCTTTATGATGAGAAGGTTTAGATCAGGGGTCGCCAACCTTTTTAAGGCTGAGGGCCACTTCAAGGGTACTGAGTTATAGGAAGGGCCAACAATACTAATCCATGCACAGCAAGGGTCAGTGTTCACCTAAACTTCATTATACATTATAAACATTTTTATTGTTTCTTTTAAGTTCTAATTATATTTTAGACATTGTCATTTTGAAAGGATCTATAAATTTGTCAATAGCTATGACTGAAAGGAGAGAAAGAAAAGAGAAGAAAATTTCAAACTTGTTAAATTGTTCTTTTTTTACAAGTCTGAGGGCACCCCATTGTGGTCCATGAGAGGCCCCTTGGTGCCCACGGTCACCATGTTGGTGACTCCTGGTTTAGATCATAAAGGAGGGATGATGGAGGCTCCAGGATGGAGGTGCAGCCTCTGCAGGACATCAGCACCATGGATAGAGTTCTGTTCCACCATCATGATGTGTTTCAGTCCAGTTCTGTCCTGCTGTCAGACCACTGATCTTCTACACCAGTGGTCTCCAGCTCTGGTCCTAAAGATCTACTGTCCTGCATGTTTTAGATGCATACCTGCTCCAACACAGCTTAACCAGATGAATGGTTTGTTACGAGGTCTTTACAAACTTAATGGCATTTTGAAAAGTTAATTCAGTCATTTGATTCAGCTGTAGAACAGGGATGCATCTAAAAGCTGCAGTCAAAGCTGGGTTGAGTTAGCTAGTTTATAACCAGCTTGGTGGTACCGCTGATCCTGTCATTGATGTGGATTGGTTAAACTGGATAGGATGGGAGTAATCCAGCTATGTTCTCTCAATTCATCGGAACGTTTTCATTAATGTGCAGGTGAGTTAAGTCAGGTGACCAGACCTTAGGGAATCAGCTGGGAAACAGAATTATAGACAATGGAACAATTTACCACAGATGCTGACATCTGATATAAAACACATTCCATATTTGGTATTGCTTTTACACAATGAGCAGCAACTGAGGTATAAACTCAGTTACTATATTTCTTACTAATAATAACCCCGAAAAATAAATAATAGAAATTAGAATCACTGGAGGGAGAAAATGTCTTTCCTAATTTGAAAATACATGATGTTGTGGATTTTGACAACACTGCAATGATTTTAGAACTGACTTTAGATCTAACAAAGTACACATGATGAGTGAATTTGAAGTAGAAATGTGTATTAAATATCTAACATTTAATCTAAATCATAGTTTAAAGCAACAGAGACAAAACAGTGAAATATTAATAAAGTTTAAGGCAGGTTTTAATATACTGTAAAGACACAGCCTCATTAAAACTTTAAAAAAACAAACGTAAGGCCAAAAAGAAGAGCCTTTTAGTCTGCTGAGCAGGAGGAAGAGGAGCTGAGAGCTTCAGGGAGGAGCTGAGCTGTTACTGAACTATAGAAGAGACACAAACTTCCACATTCAACACAGTTCAAACATTAACTCTGATCATCATGCTGTCTTTGCTCACATCTGGATTTACTCTGCTGGTTCTGCTTATAGGAACAGGTTAGTTGGAGTCTTTCAGAGAACAAGTTGATCCTTGTTTTTTTCCATTATAATTGTTTTCTTCCTTCAGGTGTAAAATGTCAACAACTCACTGCAGCAAAGACTGAGGAGTTCACTTTAGAGGGCGGCTCTGTTACTCTGTCCTGCAGTTACACCAAAGATTCAGCTTATTATTTGTTCTGGTATCGACAATATCCAGGAAAACCTCCAGAGTTCCTGAAGACCCACTCACCTACAGGTGAAGTAGAATATCTGGACAGAATGACATTTGAAGGAACCAAAGAAGAAATGAAGATGACCATCTCCTCTGCTGCAATGACAGACTCTGCTGTGTACTACTGTGCTGTGACGCCCACAGTGACAGGAAACACCAGAACTCTGTACAAGAACCTGCAATACTCCACAACTTCCACTAGAGGGCCTCACACACTGTTAACCCACTGGATGCTGATTCAGTAGACTGATGACAAAGACAACAGAGACAAGAAACAGTAAAGATCAGAGACAGAGCTGCTGTGGAAGCAGAAAACTCTCTGATTGGTTGGGTTTAGGCCACGCCCACTGAACTTTAGCTCAGTCAATGCCATTATCTGTTCCACCTTCTGCTGCAAGAGAAGAACGTTGTTTATCAGCTGTGTGGCTTCAAGGACTCCAAAGACATGCTGCTTTATCTCTTTTTTCCTCTCTCTCACATTTTAGGTGAGTTTAGGGCAGATATTCTATTAACCAAAGATACAGACTGCATTTTAAACGATTCTGCCTGATTTGCTCTGATAACATAAAAGAATCAGTTATTCATCATCTTGGAAACTGAACTGACAGAGTTTTACAGTTGATTTAGTTCTAAAAGTCCAAAAAGTAGCCTGGGACACCTGTCTAATGACGTCTTTCTATCCGCTCTTTTCAGGACTAAATATTGAATTTGGTGGGAAAAAAAATCTATCCTGTGATCAGTGGAGGATTTCCCATTAGGGAATACTAGGCAGTTGCCTATAGGGCCTCAAGTTCCTGGGGGCCCCATATTTTTTATGCACATGAATTATGTTTATGTAAAAACATTAAAAAATCACTAAAATGCCATCTGAACACTTATAATATAAAGTGTGTCTCAGCCCACTGAAGGGGAGGGGATCCTCAGCTTGAGCTAGCTAAATATTTAGTAAGTTCAATAAATATTAAATTTAAAGCTAAATATTTATTTGAAAAAGATCTAAATATATAGTTCAGACCTAAATACTTATTGAAAAACTAAATATTTAATTTGCAAACCAGTTTAATTAGCAAACTATGTATTTTGTTTTGAGCTATATTTTTATTTAACAAGCTAAATATTTAGTTTGGATCTAAATGTTTATTTAAAAACTAAATATTGAATTTGCAAACTAAATATTTAGCTTTGAGCTATATATTTATTCAGAAAATGAATTATCTTATTTTCAAATGAAGTATTTAATTTTCAAACTAAATAATTAATTTTGAAATAAATATTTATTAAAAATGAAATGCTTAATTTGCAAACTAAATATTTTCATGTTTTGAACATGTGACTCTGAATGGGCGCAATAACTGAGACAGTTGGTATAGTTAGAAAAGTTCAGTAAAATAATGGAGATGAACAAGACTGAGTTTCAGCTGGTCGGGGGTCTTGTGAGCTTGAGGTGGTGGTTGGGCTTGGTCTCGGGGAAGAGGTGCTGTTCAGTGGTCCGGGTTGTTGGTGCAGGTCCAGATTGTCTCTCTGTGGGTTTGTTGGAGGGTGGACAGGCAGGCGAGGGCAGGCAGGAGGGCTAACAGATGGATCTGGGGTTCTTCTCAGGTATGAGAATGTTTCCAGGAGTTTTTCTGATTCTGATCCCAGGCGTGGGTTTCCAGGTCTTTCATTGGATGGTTTTCTAGAAGGAAAGTAGAAGGACGAGGTTAGGATGAGGTCTCACAGAAAATAGGGTTAACAAGGAGAAGGTCTGTACCACGCTGAAGCGTGAACGAAATGACGTCCTCCTCCTGGTTTCAGCTCCTTATGAAGGCTGGTAATTAGCTCTGATGGAACGCACCTGCCTGTCCAGCCCTACAGAGGAGGGAGAGAAAGAAAAAGCAGACCTGCACCTAGACCACAGAGTATGACAAATAATTATTTAGCAATATTAAATTTTAGAAAATGAATAAAGGAAAAAATAACCCCCTTGTTTTTCTCATAAAACACACTAAATAACAAAGGTATTTGTCCTAATTTTTGACTGGTTAACTTTACAAACGGCACCCCATATTTTACTGTGAAAGGTCAGTGAATAGTTCTAATGCATTGTGGGTAACAGAAGCTCAGTCTGCAGAGAAGATTTGTAGTTCATATAGAAGGACCACAGCACAACAATGATGAGTTTAACGGGTTATTGTCAGGATCAGGTGAAGGGAAGGTTGGCTCTCATCTAGGGAGAATATAGAGGGTTTGAAGTTTTCTGCGTTGGGATAAAATCTTAATGAAAAAAAAAATCATTTTGCCCATTTTTCTGAGCCCCCCCCCCCCGTGTCTACATGCTGACATGTCACGTATAAATCTTGGCAAAAACAAAGTTCCTAATGGCTGACTCGCACGCAATCAGGTCATAAGCTGAGAGATTTTGGCATAAATAAAGGGCATTCTGTCGGGTCGGAGTAAACTCTGGCATTGACCAGTTCACCTGAGTTCCAGGAAGAAATATACACAATTCCTCACAAATAGTTTCCAGGTGAGAAGTTCTGGTTCTTAAGGTGGGCGTGGTGTATATAAGGGAGCTGCGGCGTTCATTCAGGCATGTGTCTTCGTTGTTCTCCCACTGTGGGGCTTGTGTCCGGTGGACTCTAGCAGTGGAAAGCAACAAATCGCTGGCTGGTGCATGTTACGCTGATGTTCTGGTGGTAAAACGCGACTGCGCTTCACTCCTTCTCTTCCTCTGTCTGCAAGTGTGTGTGGATGTGACCTGTTCTGCTTTGCTCTGCTCCGTCTATGTTAAAGTTGGACTGCGGCGGCCTTATTAAAGCGGTGTTTAGGGTGTGGCATCGGCGTGCCCATTTCATCTCCCGCTGTGGCATGGCAGGGCCACACCTGGTCTTAATGTTTTACCTTATATTGTCTGATTTCTATTTTTTTTTTTTATTTGAAACCATCACATATGTTTTTATTCATGCATAACTGAACTTGTGTGCCTTAAATAAGAGGTAATTGTCATGTTGGGGTTTAGGTTCCTAACCAACATGCAGAACACCACAGAGTCAGAGTAAAAAGTTCAACTGTTTATTTAGAAAAGCACAAAGTTATTTGACAGATGCTGGAAACAGATCTGGGACTGGTCACACAGGGTTCTCTGCAGAGAGGGACAGTTGGGTTAGCCAGGAAGCTTATGATCTTGTATCTGAGATGATGTGCAGGTCTGTACCTATTCAGAGGTTCTGGCTGAGCAGCAGAGGGAGGGAACCAGAAGGGTCCAGAGACTGAGAGGCGGCAGAGGGCTAGGCAGCGACAGGGCTTGACTTCAGACTTGTTAGTGTTCAGACCTTGAGCTTCTCCAAGTTCTCTTCTTGAGAGCTGGCAGGCAGGTTCCGACAGTTTGATCTCCAGGTTGCTTCTGATAGCAGGCAGGCAGGTTTCTGCTGGGAAGCTCTTCCAGAGCTCCAGGTTTCAGTCAGGTTCTTCCTAGGAGACAGAGAGGACAAAGACTGATTAGGTTCAAGTCAGGTTTTCAGGGGAGTCAGAGAATCAGACAGCTTGGTTGGCTCAGGCTTGCTAACCGTAACTGGCTTAACACTCTGTCGCTGAAGAGTAGTCCTGCCGCTGCTTATATGCTGGTCTCCCTGATGAGCAAATCAGCCGCAGGTGTGGTAGTCAGCTTCAGCTCCAGGAGACCTTAGGGCGCCCTCTGCTGGAGAAAGGTGGACAGACCTCCAGATCCCAACAGTAATATTCTCTGGGTGAAGCAACCTGAGTGGTTGAGCAATTAACTAAAACTAAACTTTCACAAAGTCTGAGTTTCCATCTAGTGTCACCGAATATATATTTTTAAGCAGAGCCGGTCCGGGAAACAAACACAGACAGAGCATCAATGGTTCAACTGTGGGGAAGCTATAAAAGATTAGTCACCATTTTAAATAAAACTAGAAGAAACTGGAGCTTGGATGAATTTTACTTTTCTTACCTGCTGATCAACAAACATGCACACAAACTCGCAGACCGAGGAAGAGGAGCACAGCGCAGTGTTGTTTACCTACTATCACACTTCATTTTAGATTTTCTGACCAAGATCAGCTAAAGTGCAGGGAGAGAGAACACCTACCACCAGAACATCAGCGCAACATGCACCAGCCAGCGATTTGTTGCTTTCCGCTGCCAGAGTCCACCGGACGCAGCCCCACAGTGGAAGAACAAAGACGATACATGCCTGAATGAACATCGCAGCTCCCTTATATACACCACGCCCACCTTAAGAACCGGAAGTCCTCACCTGGAAACTTATTGTGCGGGATTATGTATATTTCTATACCACTACATTCTACCCCCCCTTCTTGCATCGACAAATCCAAGTCCTTCACCTGCTGTTGCACACTAGCTGAAGCCATCTGGCACCCCATCGTGGCTACTTTTGCTGTAACTTCAGTAATTCCTGCAGGGAGACTCGCCACATTAACAACATTCAAAGTGCCAACAACAGTGCGGGGAAATAACACCACTTCAGTCAAACCAACATTATTAATGGGCACATAAGCTGTAGCCCTGATTACTGGAACCAAAGCAGGGGAAGCAAGCAAGGCAGAAGGCAATCCGGGCTCTAAAGGTTCAAACAGAGCGGTAGAGCCCGATCACCCATCAGAACATGTGGCAGCCACAATTTTCATGACTCCACCAGGAATCCGACAGCCCTTTTTTACCCCTGACCTTAACCCTCCCAGGAATATGAGGCTCTT